TGGTTTCCCCTCTGTTTATTTATAGAAATGACTTAACACACCGGAACCTACCAATCAAATACCTTTCTCGAATATTTGTGAATTCTAGACAAAGCATTAAGGTCTACTATGTTCGTAAATTGTTGTTGTGATTGTTATTCGACATATGCTTCGTTAATATGAATTTATGTAACATATGGTGCCATTTCAATGGTTTGAAATGAATTCTGTCCGTATTCCATAGTTGTGGAATTCAAGCTGTACGATAGGCATTGCCAAAAAGACAACTTTTTTGGGTGTGTCTAGTTGACCATGTTCTTAGTGCACTTGTATCCATGGTAAGGCGCACACGCCATCTGGAGGTGACAGGTTCAATTCCCGGCACGGTAACTATAACTTTCGATTTGTATGTTGTCTAGTGTGTTCTTCTATCTTTCTATTTCGTTCTATGAGTGTCGATCAATACACTTTATGTTACTTGAATAATTCATAGGATTCAGACAGGAGACAGGGACGTGCTTAGCTTAGTTGGACAGAATAGAATGTTAGGGTGTTAGAATAATATTTTAGTGACAGCATACATTGTGCTAAGTGTTACGTTGTGATAGTATTTCTTCTCTGTATTTTGTAGCGTCTAACAGTGACAGGTGTTTATTTGTTCTTGAATGCCTATGTAGTATTTGTGTAATCTAATCAGTAGGATCGGCTGATGATATGTTTTTTTTAATGATCTCTATCCTCGGCACACTGGCCCCTCACTCAACGGAAGCTCTGCGATCCCGATGAAGTCTAGTGGCATCAGAAGAGAGCGTATCTCACAAAGGTGTGGTCTGTGGGCCTGGGATTTGCTCGAGAGAACGCATTGGCTTATTTAGTGAATGTAAAGCTAGCACTGCCAGGGTTCCGACTAACAGGTGCCCACACAGCGGGAAATCAACGGTCCTTTTGTTTATCTGTGATTTACATTAAAAATTGTCACGCGTGCTCTGTAGGTGTCAGGTTTCAGTGTGTAATAGGTTAGATTGTCTGTCTGAAGCCAACACAGCTAGCCACGTACCATCAAGGTCAATTAGAGGTCTTTGACAGACACATGGGATCTCTTAGCGTAGAAGAATGAATCCAAGTTGCCTCATTAGATAATTGGAGATATATATTAGGTTATGTATTTAGCTGATGGTTTTTTTGGGGTGGGGGGGGGGAAGGGGGGGGGGGTTATATTTGTCGTGTTCACTATTAAAGTGCTAACGTGATTCAGTTAGTCTTTTAATATTTGATGTGGCTATTTAGTTAGTATGTAATAGCGTTGCTAAGGTGACTTTCTTAATAAGTCGCATCGTAGTCAAACATACTCTTATTTATTGATAGCGATATCAAGATTTAGCTTGTTTCATTGTAAATATTTCAACTGAATGTGATTAACGGTAATGAATGAATGTGAAATTACTATGTTGCGTTTTGACGATTAAGTTAGTTTGACATTGACAGTGAACAAGTGCGGGTGGTGTGATCAAGTTCGTGTGCTGATATGTGTGTGCTGCTGAGTTCTGAAGTTCAGTCACCGAGGCCTGTCGATCTCGGCCATCATCATCATCATTACCATCATCCTCATCGAGGGAAGCCAAAGATCAAGGACTGGAAAGAAGATAATTTTGTTTTGATGTTGGTGTTTTTTTTAATCTGTTCTATAGTCCACAAACTTGTATTTTTGACAAAGGAACCGTTCGTTGTCTTTTCATTTCTCGTCTTTCATATCCATCACTGCATTGTTATTGTGAGTGGTTGGTAGCGCTAGTCTTGTGTTGTTCGTGGTTGTCTGTAATTGCTAGGATAACATAGGAGTACGTGTAAACTATTTTGCGATTCTAGTCTCGCCTGCAACGCGTTGTGCAGCTGGTCTACAGTCAAGGTATATGCTAGTAGCGGCTTGTTCGTAATTTGTCATTGTTTTATCTTAGTGCTTTCTTGTCAATAAGTGTTTACTTAACAGTAATTTATCGTTCGTGCTTGTGGTGTCATACTTAAAGCTAAAGTCATTCCTCCTAGGTGTTTTGTCTGTAAATGTTTTCTACATGTGATATCAGAGACATTTAATTGTGCAATAAATATATATTTATTTTACTGAGTACACATTTCTCACATTTACATTCTGAAATTGTAACGTATATGTTTCGGTGATCCATTTCCTTTACCGAGATAGGACAATCAAAATTGTTTCAAAAGTAAAATTATTCGATTTTGCTTACTGTTTTGTTGAAATATTGAATATTATCTGTATTAATATTACAATTTTGTTCACTGGTTTCCATAGTTGCCACGTGTAATTTTTGCCAGTTTTCTTTTGTGGCTGCTTCGGGTAAACAGTTAGTTTGTTGTTGCTTGTATTTATTATTTAGCAATGAAGGTTTTCTGACTGGGTGTATTTGCTGCACCCTTGCAAGATGTCGACTCGTTGAATTCATCGAGATGGCCAGACAGCGTGGTCTTAACGGTGAGAAGGTGCTTTAATTAACTGATAAGAGTAATGCCCATCAGCAAGAAAGACAAGACTGAACTGAGGAGAGAGAGAGAGAGAGAGTTAACGACGTTTTAAGCTAGAAGCCCAAAGTAAGACGAAAGAGATTGAAGAGTTTAGAGAAAAAGTTAGACGCAAAAGCAGCGCCTACACAGCAAGAGTTAGCTCCGCAGGCAGCCTTACGAATGACATTGAAGGACAAGGAAGTAGCAGCTCAAGTAGCTCTGAAACACCAAGGGTTTTCAGCTATGGTTGAGAGAGACCGAGTACAGCTACTGATCAAGGACAAAGAATTAGAACATACAATGATTCTGAAATAGAAAGAGCTCGCATGTAACACATAACTACAGAAAGAGAGACCGGTAATGGATCTAAAGGCCAAAGAGATAGAAGCAACAAGAGACGCTGAGGTACAGATGAGGACAGCTGAGACAAAGGCTGCTGAACCATCCTTTAGAAAAGTATCAAGGCCGAGTGAAATTTTTTAATCAAGGTAAATCCATCATTTTCACTAAAGCCTGGCCTTAGGAATTCGTCAATGGGGACTGAAGCCTAACCCGTAGAATTCGTTAGTGAGAGCTGAAGCCTTGCCCAGATAATTTGTCAATGTTAGCTGAAGCCTGGCCCGGAGAATTCGTCAAAGGGGACTAAAGTCTGCGAGGGACTGGTTACTGGCGGTTGATCTGCCAGGCCATGAAAGGTACCCCGAGTTAATCCGGAAGACCGGTCTGCGACCTGACATAATTCTCCACTCTGCGGAGAAACGGCAGCTCATCCTGATTGAACTGACCGTCCCGTATGTGTCGCGTTAGGACGAAAATCACCTGTACAAGCTCGAGAAATACAGTGATTTAGCAGCCGGTCTGAGGAGAAACGAGGCGTACACGGTACGTGTCTTTGCCGTCGAAGTGGGAGCGCGAGGTCTCGTCTCCACTTCACTGTACAATGTGATAAAAGAACTAGGATTGCGCGGTAATGAACGGAAACGTACACTCAAAAAACTGGGCGAGGTAGCCGAAAGGGCCTCGAGCTGGCTTTGGACGCAACGCAACAACGTAGGGGACGGGCCTCGGTGAGCTGGTCCGGGTGTCTAGCGGAAAAGGGTTTCTCACCCCTTGAAAGTCCATCGTGTCCGAATTGTCTGCCAGTGATCCTCTGCCACTTGCTAACAAAAGTCCAACATGTGTCCGGTATACCAATCGTAAGCTTGTCGCTCGGTCGTCCAGGTATGCTGACTGCTTTAATTAGGCTACCGCGGCGACTTCTTATCTCACAGTACCTTCTGCGAAACCACCAAGTCGTCTTGTCCTATCCGAAAGAAAATACCATCCGGTAATCTCGTGCAGCAGGGTACCAGCCCTGAGCTTCGTGAATTCAAGTGTCTAGGAATCGTGGGCCGAAACACTTGTAGACTAGGATAATTTCTACTGACAACTGGTAGATCCCTGCTGTACTTGCTCCCTGTGAGTTTATTCCTATGGCCCGAAGAATTCGTGACTGGGAACCAAAGCCTTGCCTGGAGAATTCATCGCTAAGAGGATATATTGTCGCCTGTGTCACCGAAGTCAATTCGCGTGGCGTCATTGAGATTAAGGCCGTCAAGCGGAGCTCTCACAGTGGACTCGAATTTGCTGTAGTCTTTTCCTGCGAAGTCAAGCCAGGAAACCTCTTAACTCAAGTCAGCGAACTGTGAGACATGAAGTATCACTAAAGGATATGGAATACTGTTTTAAAAGGATCGATTCTGACAGTGTGCCTTGTTTCTGAGCGCTTTGAATGAAGAGCGCTGACCAGCTGGTATTTACAGTTGCTGTGTTTCTGTGTGTGTGGAGCGACCGATTTCCGCTAAGCTACTACTGAGTGTGAATTCGCTAAATTATGTAAACCCTATGTTACCATGTCTTTTGATGTGTTTTTCACCGACAAATTAGTGTATTTATGTCGTCCAGTTACGTTTAGTCTACGTGAATAGTGTGAGGATTTTCGTGAATGATTAACATGCCATTTCATATCATCTCGTCATACTACGTAAAGGTACTGACATGTCATTCAGCAAATTCGTTCAGATTGCTAGAGACCTAAGTCAGGAGGCGGAACAGGTAGTCACTATCGCGGTGGCTAGGATGAGAGAGCTATCTGAAAGGAAGGTACCCATGAAGGAAGAGAGACCCACGGAGAGGGCTCATATGAGGGAGATAGCAAAAGTAGAAGCCTTGACAGTTGCAGTTAGAAAAGAGCTGGAATTAGCTCGGATAAAAAGAGATAGGGCTATAGCACTGGCAAAGGCCAGCAAGATGGCAGATGCAAAGGAAGGTTATAAAGATAATGATGACTATGGTTTGAGCAATTACAAACCAAAGTTACCTTATCTTGGTATCCAGTATGATATTCATTCCTACTTGAACCGTTTTGAAGATGAGATGCGCAGTAGACGCATCCCATAGCACAGTGGGATTCTCGATTGGGTGACCTACTGACTGGGAAAGTGCTACTAACATGTAGTAATTGCTCAAAACAGGAAAGAAAGTCGTATGTTGTTGTACGTCAGAACTTGTTGGCATCTAAGTTGTTAACAGAAGCAGGCTATAGGAATCAGTTCCATACACTGATGCCTAAACCAGATGTTAGCTTTCTGAGTATATTGCACAAGTAAAAACAATTTTTTTCAGGTGGGTGAACTTAGCAAGGGTCTGCACTTATTTTGATAAATTGGTTGATCTGGTGTTGAGAAACAAGGTCTTATTATCCTACAGCAATGATTTCAAGAAAGTAAACCTAGGAGTTTAGAGGATATGATCACAATGGGTGAAGTGTATATCACAGCTCATCCAGGGAAGGTGATACATTCTTAGAAAATTGACAATTTGTTGCCAGGAGCGGCAAGCCTTCAGGTCAAACTTCCTCAGCTCACACAGAATCAAGGAAGATTTAGGAATAAGGATTTTACAAGTCCAGAGGCCCAAACAGGGGAAGCAACAGTAGAAGAGCCTCACTAATAATGAGCAACCTGGCTGTAAATTGTGTGGGCCCTGGAGACACAGATCCGAGGACTGCCAGTAGAGGAGGGACAGGAAGGATGATGACAAACCACCAAGAACAAGTTTTTTTCAGATCTGTACCTATTATATGTTTTCTTTGTTCAGTACAACACAAACGTAGTGTATGCCCTACAGTGATAAATGGTAAAGCAAATGCGTCACAGGTCAGGGATTGCGGTTAATCTACCCAAACATACGATTACATAGTGAAAGTAAGACCTCAAGTTATATACCCACCTTATCAGCAACATTTCAGGTCGGAGTTTTAACCATTCATAAAAGGTATGTAGGTCGGAAAAGTTGCACGGTGTTAAGGGGCACTGGCGCGAATATTATCTGGGTAGCTTAATATCTAGTGTCTAAATCTGACTATTTGGGAAGAAGTGTAATATTTAGATATTTTGGGGAGAATATTGCGACTGACACGCTTGCACGTGCATTTTTTAGAATTTTTTTTTTCAAAGGAGAAATCAAACATTGGTACAGTGCTCATGAACGAGTGGCAAACGCGGCAGTCACCAGAGCCCAATAACTTCGTGAAAATGAATACGCAAAACCCGATGCAGTGGTGGAGGCTTTCGATGAAAGTCAGCTGGTTATTCCACAAACCATAATCACGGAAGAGCATTACATTACGCCAAAACTAGGAACCCAGCGTAATTTCAGGGTATGCTAGCAATCGGACGCTACTTTGAAGAAGTATTTTCGTAAAGCACAATCACCTAGACATAAGAAAAGTAACGGAGGAAAGTGGTACTTCTTTAAGAAAAATGGCATTCTCATAAGGTACTTTGAGAGAGCCAACAACTTCTACAAACTGCTTGTTGTACTCTGCGTCTATGGGTCTAAAGTTTTCAAAAGTGCCCTTGATACCCCATTTGCGGGGCATCTGGGCATCGGTAAGACGCAGAGAAAAGTCTTATCTCAGTTCTATTGGCCAGGGTTTTCTGCGGATGTTCGTAACTACTGTCGATCATGTAAGGACTGTCAGTTGATGTCTAGGAGAGATGCATAAAGAAGGCTCAAATTCAAAGTGCAGTTTTTCCCAATTTCCCATTCGAGAAGGTAGCGTTAGACATAGTGGGTTCGCTATCGGTCATGTCTGAGAAAGGGAACAGGTTTATCCTTATCTATATAGATCTTGCTCCAAGATGGGTGGAATGGGTCCCTATACGATACATCACCTCTGAGGCTGTAGCAGAGTCTGTAAAGCTTTTTTTTTCTCGTCCAGGTTTCCCAGATACTATCCTTTCTTACCATTGGTCGCAATTCGTTTCTGAGTCTATGAAATCTTTTGAAAAGTTGATGGCCATTGCCCATGTCTTTGCTGCCCGGTAAAACCCACAAGCAAATGGTGTTGTAGAAAATTTTAATGGCAGGGTGAAGAGCATGGTGGCGAAAGTTACGTTGGCTGTCCCTGAGAACTGGGACAAGTACCTTCCAGCCGTCTTGTTAGTCTATCGCGAGGTACTGCAGTCAAGTACGGGTTTCTCATTGTTCGAATTAGTATATTGTACGAACTCCAGGGGCCCACTGTCTTTTTTAAAGGACGCGTGTTTGGGGGGAAAAAAACAAGAGGCACAACAGACTTATGCAGATGTTGTGGTAGAACTGAGACATAGAATAATGTCTTCCTGTCAAATCGCGAGAAGTAATCTGGAGAAAACTGGAGTACAAAAAAGAGACCACACTAATCGAAATCGGAAGCTAATTTTACTTGAACCTGATGACGAAGTTCTTGTCCTGTTACCGGATAAAACTAGTTTCCTGTTGGACTGATGGAAAGGACTGTTTACAGTGGTGAAGAAAATTTCGAAGGTTGATTATTTGATAAATGTTAATGGTAAACTGAAGGTTTACAAAATAAATATGATCAAGAGGTACATGACCAGACCAGCGAATTTGGAGGGTGTTATAGTCTTTGAATGAGGAGGAGATCAATGCACATAATATTAACACCTAAGAGGCTTAGTTTTGCCATGTTGAGGAGAGTATGGGGGAGGATAATGCTGATGATCCATGAAGATGGAATTGCCACCATTAGTACCCAAGGTGTACTGAAAGGATATATAGGTATTCTATATACTACCAGGAGAGAAACGAAGTCATATTCTGAGAATGCTGGTCACATTCGAGGACATTGTATCGGACATACCACGCGTCACCGCAAAAGCAGTCCACTCCATTGAATTACCCGACTATCAACTTTTTAAGCTTAAGTCATATCCTGTACCACTTCACCATCAATCGCAAACAGAGAGATTGATGACATGATTCTGTTGGGAGTGACTGAACCGTCGACGTCTGTCTACTATTTTCCTATAGTGGCTGTGAAGAAGAAGGACGGAATTATTATGATCTGTATCGACTTCAGGCGACTCAACCGCATTACAAGGATAGATGTAGAAACGATACCAAATATGGAGAACCTCTTTATCTCGTTTTCTACACTAGACTAGACTAAACTTGACTTAGCAAAGGGTTATTGGCAGATACCTTTGGTGGAGGAAGCTAAACAATATACTGCTTTGCAAACCGTTAGGGGTTTGTATTACTTCCGATTTCTTACTTTTGGGCTTTGTAATGTTCCTGCCACCTTCACAGTGGTGGTTGTGAGATTGGTTGGTAATCGTAGTGGTATAATCCATTATTTGGATGACATTTTCCTGTTTTATGAGGACATCGAAGCACATATACAAGAGTTGAGAAGCTTGTTGGAGCGTATGGGGCGTGTCTTCTTTTTGTGCATTTATGTCTATGTATGTGTTTTATGTTTGTGTATGTATGTAGATGCGTGTGTGTATTTATCACGTATGTCTGTATATGAGTGTGCATGTATGAGAACATAGGAGTATGTATACGTGTGTGTTAGTGTGTACGACTGTGTACACAGGATGTGTGTATGCATTATACTATAATTTATATTTCTTTATTATATCCATAACATGCATTATTGATAACATGCATTGTTACTCTGAAAAATGAGTGATTAGGAGGGCCGAATGTCAGACAGGCCTGCGTGCCCAATTTGTAACCCTTTCAAAATAAAATTCGTTTGTTCGTTCGTTTCATGTCATTTGGATTGACAATCAGACCAACCAAATAAAAGTTGAGGAAGTGACGTTCCTGAGTCATGTCACATGCAGAGGGGTCAGAAAACCAGTTCAAACCACAGTTCACAAGTTTTTGAACTTACCTGTCCCTGGGACCAAAAAGGGAAGTTCGGACATTGCTGGTTTTGGGTAATTTCTACGCAAAATTTATTCCTCATTATGCCACAATCACATCTGTGTTGTCTGATCTGACTAAGAAAGGGATTCCAAACAAGATATGATGGAACGAACAATTTTATAAGTCCTTGAGACGATTACAAAGTGCATTTATTTATTTACTATTGTTGCGTTTACCTAATTTAATTGTACCCCTTGGTATTTCATGTGGGAGTGGCCAGTCTCCTGGTTCAAGAATTCCGAGGTACCTGGCATCCAGTCCTGTATGCTAGTAGAAAACTGTCCCCAGCCGAAACACGCTACATTGTGATGGAACGAGAGTGCCTGGCCATAGTGTTTGTGATCATTAAGTTCTCTAGGTCTTTTTACGGTAACCATTTTACTATCTTCATTGACCATCAGCCATTGCAGGTATTGTGTTCGGAAGCAGTGAAGAATGCCAGGGTGCTTAGATGGGCGCTGATGCTGCAGCTGTACCACTTCACTGTCCACTATATCCGCGTGGGGGGGGGGGGGGGGGGGGACGTGATCATAGATTACCTATCAAAAACAACTGTGTGATTAGGTTTTTCTGCTTTTGTTATTTTGAGGGATAATTATGTACCTAACATGCTTACATTTATGTGTGAAATATATTGTTCATGGCGAGCATGTTATGTAAATTATAATTTATAAATTGTATATTACCATGTGTTGAGCACGGCAGTCCTGTCTCCAGCAAACAAAAACAGAAAGTGTCTGTTTGCTGGAACGAATGAACGAACTAACTTTATTTTTAAAGGGTTACAAATTGGGCATTGAATCTACTATGATGGTCAATATGTATCCGGCGTCCTCTTTTGTTGTTGGGCGGAAGTAGTGACTTGTAAATGTGACACTACTGAGTAAACCTAGACACTTGACAAATGTGCGGTGCATCAAAAAACTTCGCACGCGACAAACATTTTGGATTGACGGAACAACCCTAAAAAGTCAAAATTTCTTTGGAAACATTTTACGAAAATTTTGAACCTCAAAATATCAACTATCAAAAACGATACTTGAAGCTTAGGCGATCTTATGAATGATTACATGTTTATTCTAAATTATAGTCAGGAAACGGCAGCCGTTACAATGTTGTAAGGTTTCGCCAATACAGTCGAGTGGAACCCTAAACGTGATCAGGCTTTCACCAAAATCAAGACTTTTTTCTAGTCCCCCTATTTTAAGCGGTACTGAAGTTGCAGGATGCATTATGCAGTTGGACGGAGACATCTTGCATCCTATCTGCTATGTAAGCAGAAAACTAAGTCCAGCTGAGGTAAGATACTCAACAAGACTAGAGAGTTACCCCTTAGGCAGGGTATTTCTGCTCCAGTTGAACAAACCACTACTTGTCATAAAGTCGGGATTCCAAAAGAACAACCGTATCGCAAGATGGACATTGCTGCTGCAGGACTTCCAGTTTACACTTACGCACTTAAGCGGCATAAGCAATAACCGTGCGAACTTGTGGGCCGTCTATAAAGTTAAAGCGACAGCAAAGCAATAATTTTGCTACTGAAATCTTATTGTGTCGAGAAAGATATAAGAATTTACAGAAACAGGGACGATGTCTGTGTGAATATACAGTGCTTACAATATTAACTTTCTTCCGGATGATCTGGCTACATAGAATCATCTACATATTGTTTAGAACATCATGCTTGAATTCGACAGTGATTACACAACAGCTGATCCCAAATGAACATTATACATAGCAGTCGAAGGACTTCAGCAAAACATAGAATAAAACTTATGTTTGAAAGAGGAGTGAGAGTGGAATAAAATAAAATGAATCGTTTAATGAGAGGTTTATGATGTGTATGTCAATATAAAAGGACATGTGATCATGTGCATTTAATAATGTAATGGGGTTAAAAGGGTCTATGTTAATTATGTTCTATATGCTATATATGTACTATATTTATTATAGATTGTAACTATTTTGTTTGTATTGCTATTTTTGCATTGTAATAATTTTTTGAAAATTCAAAATAAACATTTTTAGTTATTACAGAGAAGTACAGTGCTTCTTAAGTTACTATGAGTTCAAAACTAACAAAATCTTTTATGTAGAGCAACTGTTTACAATTATATGTTAGACTAAAATGGATTTTGTGTAAATTGGTTTTTGTTATAGAATACGAAGCAAATAAATAAATAGTGTATGTTAAAGTAATTGACAATTAGGCTAGCGTTAAAAATTAAATTCGTTTAATTTTTTTTAAAGTCAATTTCAAATAAGTTGATAAGTAATGTAGATAACTCAAAGTTAAAATGACTTTGTACTTTCAAAGTGGGTGTTCACAAAGAGAATTCGAAGCTTTGTGAGACATACAAGGTGTTGTGGGCAATCCGAAGATTCACACTATTGACGACCGCTAATGAACATGAGATATAACGAGAGACACAACGTCACTTGCCGACTGAAGAACTGGACAGAAGACAGTTACAATAAAGGTAAGAAGGGCAGATGCTTGTATTGATATGTCCTGATGTCGCAGTTCGCGGGAGAGCAAAATCTCTGAGCTCCATATTGGAGGAAAGGAATTATCCTACCGTCGTCCTTATACCGCAGTTCGCGGGAGAGCAAAGTCTCTGAGCTCCATGTTGGAGGAAAGGAATTATCCTACTGTCATTAAGTACAGCGATTGTAACATATTTATTTCATGGACACTCGTTATATCTGTGGATAATTGCTGAATAAACGTATTGATATTGCCTGTCATCGACGTGTTCTCAAGTGTAGAAGTTTCAACAGTTGACCTTGTTGGTGGCAGTTTTTTTTAACCTGTCGCTGGGTTTTGTATTTGGTACCCCTAGAGAAATAAGTTACTTGGACTGAGTACGAAATGGACCTGAGACGACATTTAAACGGAATAATCTATGTGCAGTATGAGATTATAATAATACTACATTTGATGGGTGACATTATTCGCAGAGGATGGGAATGTTTCCAAAACGCCACATTTGTGTTTTCTGTTTACTTTACAGTGTGGATCATAGGGTGTGATTAGTGTCTTGGCAGAGATTGCGGATTGGAAAACACATTATACGACGGTATGTCAGAAAGTCAGGTGACTTCTGTCAGAACCATGGAAGATTCTTGAAGGTAACGTCCATGGCGACCATTGTTATTGAGCACAGTGCTGTTGGTACGGCTTGGGGTGTATTCAGTGGCGTCTTACTTGCACAAGAGTGTAGTGAGGTTCAGTGGGTCCCGGAGAGGATGATTGTTCACACACATAATTTTAAATCATTACCTCTATGATTGGAAGGTGTAAGAAGTGGTGACGTATTTGTGTCTAGGATTGACATAATTTTTACCAATTGGGGAAGTGGTGACCTATTAAGTGTACATGCCCTGTAAAATATGCATATGTTTTGTTCTCAAATAAATTACTCAGTATTCCAGACATTTTAGGTTAACTGATTGCTGACAATAAATCAGTTATATTACTTTAGTGACAGTCCATACATGTTTTGCTGATACTTGACGACATACTACAATAAGATACATAAACGTCTGCTGTCAGATAGTATCAGGCTAGAGAGGGGTGGATATCAGAACCCTGTTTGTACAGTCATGTGGCGGTGTGTACCATAGAGACGGTGTACAGTGTGAGGTGTGAAACCCAGAGTTTACGGACAGCTCAACGCGGTGGAAGCATGACTGTCCAAGTATGTGCTGTAATAGCTAACAGAAAGTATTGTGAACGGCACTCATAGAAAGAAGTAAAAAGATAGATAACTATAGCTTTCGATTTTTATGTTGTCTAGTGTGTTCATCTATCTTTCTACTTCTTTCTATGAGTGCCGTTCACAATACTTTCTGTTACTTGATTAATTCATAATATTTAACGGCCTCAAATGGTTCCTCCCTCTGTTTATTTATATGTAATAGCTAAGGGGGAACTACCGCTCAGCGAGATCCAATGGTGACAGTTAAGTGCTGAAAGAGTGCTGTCTCTTTCTGGCAGGTTTGGTGTTTGCGGCATGGCCCTAGCTGATCGTGACAAAAGTCACCAGGTGGGAGTCAACCGGCATTCTCTCAGGATTTAGACAGGAGATAGGGACATGCTTAGTTGGACAGAATAGAATGTTAGAAAAATATTTTAGTGACCGCATAGGTTCTGCTAAGTGTTATGTTATGATAGTTTAGCTTCTCTGTGTTGTGTAGCGTCCAACAGCGACAGGTGTTTTGTTGTTCTTTAATGCGTTAGTAGCGTTGGTGTATTTTGATAAGTAGAATCGGGTGAGAATATGATTTTTGTGATGATTTCTATCCTTGCATACTGGTCACGCATTTGACGAAAGCTCTGCGATCCTGGTGAAGTCTAATGGCGTTTGAAGGTGTGGTTTGCGGACCTGGGACCTTAATCGCGAGAACGCACTGGCGTGTTTAGTGAGTGTGAAGCTAGCACAGACAGGCTTCCGAGTAACAGGTGCCCACATTGCGAGAAGTCAACTGTCCTATTTTTATCTGTGATTTACAATACAGATTGTCATGTGTGCTCTGTGGGTATCCGGTTTTAGTGTGAAGTAGGTTGGAATGTCTGTCAGAGGCCTTAGGTTGGAATGTCTGTCAGAGGCCCACACAGCGAGCCTTTAGTGTGTACTAGGTTGGAATGTCTGTCAGAGGCCCACACAGCGAGCCTTTAGTGTGTACTAGGTTGGAATGTCTGTCAGAGGCCCACACAGCGAGCCACGTACCATCAAAGTCAATTAGAGATCTGTGAAAGAGCTATTTGTCTTGACGGCAGTAAGCAGGTCTTTAACAATGATACAAACACACTGACAAGACTGTATAAACACATTGACAATATGATATCAACACTCTGATAAGATTGTACAAGCTCTGAAAATATGTTATAAACACTCTGACAAGATTCTATAGTTCGCTGACAAGATTATACAAACACATTGAGAAGAGGGTATAAGCATATTGACAAGATTACATAAGAATAATCACACCGAATATAACATACTTACTAGATTATAAAAATATACTGACGTTGAAAAGATTATTTAAACACACTGAAAAGATTGTATAAACATATGGACAAGTTTGTATAAACACAAACACATTGATAAGATTGTTTACACTTTTTTGACAAGATTGTGTTAACACATTGAGAGGATGGTGTCAACACACTGACAAGACTGTGTAAACAGGCTGACAAGATTGTGTAAACAGGCTGACAAGACTGTGTAAACAGGCTGACAAGATTGTGTAAACAGGCTGACAAGACTGTGTAAACAGGCTGACAAGACTGTGTAAACAGGCTGACAAGATTGCATAAATATATTGACAAGATGACATCAACAGATTGGGAACCTACCTCTGTGAAACCATGTAGAAAGGATCAGCTTGCACTTGACTGACCGCCGAGTTGGCACAGATTAGACTGGACATGCTGACACTGAGTATAGCCTTGATCTGGGCTGCAAACAGTCGAGTTCAGTGCATGCTGTCTCTAAATACATGGTTTTATGGATACGTGTGTGTGTGTGTGTGTTTAACGTAGACTATATCTAAATACATGGTTTCATAGACACGTGTGTGTGTTTCCTGTACACTTTCTACTATGTCTGTGCTGTAAACAGTCGAGTTCAGTGCATACTACCTCTAAATACATTATTTCACAGACATGGGTGTGTGTTTAACGTAGACTGTCTCTAAATACATAGTTACATAGACACTTGTTTGTTTACTGTACAGTGTCTCTACATACATGATATGATGGACACGTGTATATGTTTACTGTACACTTCAGAGACACTTCTGTATGCATGGCTTCAGAGACACTTGTTTGTTTACTGAACACTTTTCTGTACGCATGGTTTCAGAGACACTTGTATGTTTACTGTACACTTTTCTGTATGCATGGTTTCAGAGACACTTGTTTGTTTACTGTACACTTTTCTGTATGCATGGTTTTAGAGACACTTGTTTGTTTACTGTACACTTTTCTGTATGCATGGTTTCAGAGACACTTGAATGTTTACTGTACACTTTTCTGTTTGCATAGTTTCAGAGACACTTGTTTGTTTACTGTACACTTTTCTGTTTGCATAGTTTCAGAGACACTTGAATGTTTACTGTACACTTTTCTGTTTGCATAGTTTCAGAGACACTTGAAAGTTTACTGTACACTTTTCTGTTTGCATGGTTTCAGAGACACTTGAATGTTTACTGTACACTTTTCTGTTTGCATGGTTTCAGAGACACTTGTTTGTTTACTGCAGACTTTACTTATGCATGGTTTTAGAGACACTTGTTTGTTTACTGTACACTTTTCTGTTTGCATGGTTTCAGAGACACTTGAATGTTTACTGTACACTTTTCTGTTTGCATGGTTTCAGAGACACTTGAATGTTTACTGTACACTTTTCTGTATGCATGGTTTTAGAGACATTTATATGTTTACTGTACACTTTTCTGTATGCATGGTTTCAGAGACACTTGTATGTGTACTGTACACTTTTCTGTATGCATGGTTTCAGAGACACTTAAATGTTTACTGTACACTTTTCTGTTTGCATGGTTTCAGAGACACTTAAATGTTTACTGTACACTTTTTTGTTTGCATGGTTTCAGAGACACTTAAATGTTTACTGTACACTTTTCTATATGCATGGTTTTAGAAACACTTGTATGTTTACTGTACACTTTTCTATATGCATGGTTTTAGAAACACTTGTATGTTTACTGTACACTTTTCCATATGCATGGTTTTAGAAACACTTGTATGTTTACTGTACACTTTTCTGTATGCATGGTTTTAGAGACATTTATATGTCTACTGTACACTTTTCTGTATGCATGGTTTTAGAGACACTTGAATGTTTACTGTACACTTTTCTATATGCATGGTTTCAGAGACACTTGTATGTGTACTGTACACTTTTCTGTATGCATGGTTTTAGAAACACTTGTATGTTTACTGTACACTTTTCCATATGCATGGTTTTAGAAACACTTGTATGTTTACTGTACACTTTTCTGTATGCATGGTTTTAGAGACATTTATATGTCTACTGTACACTTTTCTGTATGCATGGTTTTAGAGACACTTGAATGTTTACTGTACACTTTTCTATATGCATGGTTTCAGAGACACTTGTATGTGTACTGTACACTTTTCTGTATGCATGGTTTCAGAGACGCTTTAATGTTTACTGTACATTTTATGAACTTTAATTTTACAGACACTTGTATGCTTTGTGTGACTGACACCTTTCTGTTTTTCTAGCGATAGTGTTATGTTGCGCTACGAGGATGCATCGGACTCACCGCCATGGCGATGGCTAGTGTGACTAGGAAGACCTGCCTGTGTTGAGAAGAGTCTTCAACAATGACAGCATGGGATTTTGGGACCACTATTGTCGTTGTTGTTGTTATTGTTATCGATCCAGCGTCTCATGAGCTTTCGCCCATTGGCCCAATGCCATGTAGTGGAATTGCATGTTTTCAGAAACTGTTCTTTTCCTCCGTACAAGGTGTTCCACTTGTCTGGTCTCGGATGGAGTAGCATTCTTCTAGTCTCGCTGAGTTTTGGGCACTCAAAAAGATGGTGTTCAACAGTTTCGTAGGGGTAGTTACATAGCTGGTACTCTGGGGAGTGTTGTGGCTGTATTCTGTTTAGATGTCCATTGAGTGGAGTAAGTTGCGTTCTAAGTCTGAAGATGGTGGCCTGGTCCCTTCTTGTTAGATGGTTAATGCTGTCATTAGGATCAGGACCAGCCATGTGTCTATAAACTTCTCTTCCAGTGTCTCCCATGGCCCATCTGTTCAACCAAGTATCTTTGTTTATAGCTATTATCAGTGTTTTTGCTGTCTGTAGGGTTGTCGCTGTAGGTGGTTGTTCTTGTGTTGCTCCTTTCTTTGCCAGTCTGTCAGCTCTGTCATTACCTGGTGTGCCGGAGTGGCCTGGAATCCACTGCATCACTATTCTGGTGTTGTATGAGGTAATAAGCTGATTAGCATCCAGGATTATCTTGGCTATGCCAGTTCTGCAGCGTTCACTGCCCTCCAGAGCTTAAAGGGCAGACATTGAATCTGTGAAGATGACAATATTTTGGGCCTTTGAAGGGTAAACATCCATTACAGTCTTTAGGTGGTCTACTGCTGTTTCCAGTGCAATTATTTCGGCTTCATAATTTGAATAGAATTCTCCGCATGAATCAAAAATCTCTTCAACAGATCCATCGGGATAACCTATGTAGATTCCGTAACCTGCTTTAATGGTAGCTTTAAATGCAGATCCATCAGTATAAACATGTATCCATTCTTGGGGGTAAGAATCAACGGTCTTTAGTTGTGAGTTCATAAGAGCGATTGGGTCGGATTGTTTGGTTTCCTCGCCTACCAATTTAATTCGGACTTCTGGAGCTTTAAAGCGAGCATGTGGTGGAAGGTTTCTTGCAACATTCTGAATGCCTTGACGTCTTTCTGGGAGGTGGTATCTGTCCTGAATTTCATTAACACAGTGTAAAACCGATTTGTGCTTTATTCTTTGTTTGTATTCCCAGTTTTCTACAAGGTGTCTATTAGGATGGTTACGATTCTTTCTAACGCATCTTTCGTAAATTTCTAAAGAGGCTTTTTCTCTCCGCAACCCGAGGGGTTCCATATTTGTGTGGATTTCACATGCAGCAGTTGGTGTAGACTGCGTAGCTCTGCAGAATAATCGGAGGGCATTATTTTGTACTCTGTCAAGAGTCTCTAGGTTAGTTTTGGAGCAGGTTGTAAGCAGTGAGTTGTTGTACTCTATCACAGAGCGAACATATCCTAGATATAAGCCCCTCAGAGTTTCCTTGTCTGATCCCCATGATGTACCTGCAAGTTTCTTTAATAACTGTAACCACCTCAATGCCTTATTCCTTACGTTTTCAATATGATTCTTGAGGCTGTGCTACCGGTCAAGTGTGACTCCAAGGTATGCAGGATGCTCTTCTTTCATTACTTGGTGTTTGTCTAACCTCAGGTTAATATTCTTCCTTGCTACTTGATGGATTTTGGTAAAGATTGTGTAGATCGTCTTTAGACAGTTAACCTTGAGTTTCCATCTTTGGCTGTACTCATGCAGTCTTCTAAGGTCTCCATTTAGTCTTTGGGCTCCACTTTCCACATTTTCATGACTCTGCCATATTGCTAGGTCGTCAGCGTACAAGGCTTTTTCGGCCTTGATTTGTTCTGGCAGCTCATTGATAAAGATTAGGAACAGTGTACAGCTCAATGATGAGCCTTGTGGCAAGCCCTCCTCCAAGACCTCTTTAGAAGAGATTGCGTTGTGCATCTTAGTCTGTATTGTTCTATCATGAAGTATTTCACCCAGTTATACAATCTGCCATGTATTCCTATGCTCATTATCTTCATCAGGAGACCTTTTCTCCATACTCAGTCATAGGCCTGCTGGAGGTCGACAAAGACGGCCACTGTGTGTTTCTTATTCTGGAAGCAATCATGTATTCTTTGTGTCAGACTGAACAGCTGGTCTTCTGTACAGCTGTTGGTTCTGAAGCCTGCCTGTTCATGGCATAGAACACCAGAACTCTCTAGGAACCAATACATGCGCCTGTTTATCATTCTTTCTGCAACTTTGTCCAAGCATGATGTTAAAGATATTGGGCGGTAGCTTTTGGGGTCGTCTGGAGGCTTTTTGGTTTTAAGAATGGGGACGATATATGCATTCCTCCATGGACCACTATTGTCAACATTTGTGTTAAGTCCGTTTCTTTTCAGACACTCAGCTCTCATCCTTTCAACAGTCATGTGTTCCTACTTTCTCATTCCCTTCCTGACGTGCACCCTCCACACAATACGGTCCATGTCATTTTGTTCTAATGAGTGCACCTCAATACCTGTATCATTTATGTCTAGATCTGGATAAGGTAACCAAAAAATTTCTTCTCAATTTCAGCCAGCTCCTAGGATGAGCGTCGACTTTACCTTGACTTCATTTGATGAATGTTTTTGATGCTGCGTATGGTAACGTTTGTTTGGTCGCACTCCTTCCAGCACGCCGTTGTATCAGGAATCAGGGCTTCCACCAGGCACACCACTCCGAACCAGATAGAAACTGCCATCGAGCCTACACAGGCAAGGCCATTTTCAAGGGTCCCATGTTTAACATCTTTTTGAGCTTTTCATTTTTTGCGTCATACATGTATGTGTGCGTGTGCCTTTTGTTGTTGTAATTTTTATAGTCAGGATTTCTTCCTGCCAGTTATGGTTTTAGAAGTAGAGGAAATTATCGCAGATATAGTCAGTATGAAAGCTGAAATGCTGTTGAGGACTTACAGTGAGGTCGGAAGATGGATGTAGATTTTTAGTCCGTAGAGCTTTTGGGCTGCTGGCTCGTGTTTACTGGGCTTGTGCACAGTTATGTCAGTTGGGTCACACCCGGCCTTGTGTTTGGTGCTGTGTTAGCCTGGCCCAGGGGCGTTGTTATAGTTGGTCTGCTAATGAACTTCTGAACCAGTTTGTGTAGGTCCAGTCGCTGTTCACGCTCAGGCATTCGTAGAGGGACATCTGTCTCCATTCTGGCTGTTGAAACATGCATGTAGCTGTCGCCTCTGTTCATTGAATTTATTGCACTCAACATGTAATCGCTCAGTAAGTCAGGTTTCTTAAATTTGTCGCATCTCGGGTTCTGGTACTTCTGTTCCTTGGAACTTTCATTCAATTGATTTTCCCATGCTTCAAAAAGTTTTTTCTGACCGTTTTGCCTTCCCACTTGCCTATCCCTATTGTCACAACCCTATAAGTACAGTCAGTGTATTACACCGTAAGGTGTGCGTGTTGAAGTGACACCCCAGGGTTGACACAAAAGTCAGGGCCGTGACTGGTCAAGTCTGTTCTGTTATCGCATGGTGAAACCAGCGCTTAGGATAAAGCGTTTGGCCACGGCAAGAAAGAGTGAACGTTGTTGGAGACAAGTCGACAGCACGATGACCGCGGTTGGGACTGAGCTGGACCGGGGTCAAGAGACACGAGGTAGAGAGAACAGAGGACATTCGGTGTGCGACGGTCAGAGAGGAAGCAGACGTTTAGCAAGACAGTGATAGTATATTAGAGTTAGGATATTTCTGTTAGTGACTGCATAGTTTATGTACAGTGTTCTGTTAGAATAGGATAGTTCTTGTGTAGGGTATTTATACATGTTCTGTGAGAAATGTCTAACCTTAGCACTCTGACCCTGTGCTAGGTAGAGG